GAGTGAAGTCCATAGGTTTTTTACATTGCAGCAAATTCACCACAACAATCATAACCTTTAAAAAGAGAGAGGGCTCTTTTAATAAGCTGATTGTCTTCAAGCCTCTGCAGCCTGTAGATACAAATAAATCAAACTACCTTGGGCCCCACATTTTTTTGGTTCTAACCCCTCAATGCTAAGCTTCAGGACTTCAGCACACATGCACACACACCCTACTCTGAATCTCCCCCAGTTACCTGGTAGAGTACTCTATGCTCAGGACTAACCCTTCCATATGCTTCTGCTCTGTCCTCTCCATTGACCACTGGGTGCCCAGCCAGTTGAGGGAAAGTGCTCCAGCTGCCACTCCTAATTCTACCCTAGGATAACCCTGCCTCCCAGTTCAAGAACTATATTTCTTGGTACTCAAAATCCGTACATCCTCCAGATGAATTTTCCTGCTGCTTCAGAGTCATACATACAGAAACATACCACTCACTCCTTCAAGAAAACTGGGTCCCCTGCAGACATCTTAGCAACATAGTATGTCCTTGTTGGAGTTGCATATAATTCAGGAAGAATATTGGTTGGGATTAAGGGAATAATGAAAAGTAAGTGGCAATCTTAATCATTTCACCATCCCCTGCTTTTTAAGAATGATGCCTTTTAAGAGATCTTTCTTGATCATGACTAAAGAAACATGTCATGCCCTTGTTTCCTTGGCTAAGGGACAGACAACTTTATATCCACCATCATTTAACTAACCAAGCCTTTTCTTACTGAGATGTTCTCTTTCCTCTCTTAGATGACTCCTCACTGTTGCCCCAAGGTCTTATTTTCCAGAATGCTGTCCATTTCTAATGTGAAAGAAAATGATGGTCAAAACGACTGGAAAGGGAGGATCTGTTCCTCCTATTTCCCCACCTAAATGGAAAAAAAAAAGAATATGATTCCCTTTTATTGTGAATTTCCCCCTAATGTCTGCCCATATTCAAGAGCCAAAGTTCCTGGGCTACTTTGCCCTATCTCCTCATTATTAAGATGGTAACTTCTGGTGCAGTCTGAGAGAAATTCCTGAAACCATAAGCATTTCTGCAAGCACTGGAGAAAAAGTCCATTTATTGGGACAAAGTAGTATTTAGGAAGTTCTCACTACTCCATACATGCTTTATATATAGTCTTTATATTTCCAGTAAAAAAAATCCTCATTTTTAAAAATCTGTGCAAGTTCCTAGACTAAATAATCCTGTGATTATTTTTCTTTACCTGGTCTCCATTCATTCCCCTATCATTCTTCTTCTCGAAAATCTCTTCCCTGGAAAAAAAATCTACCTTGAAAGCCTCTTCTTCCTTTAGATAGACAGACAGACAGATAGATTAACAAAAACTGGTACAGAATGAGGGGATACATTCTTTAGAGGCAAGCAGTCTCCAAATCCTAATCTGATTTCCCCTGGAACTCCTGCCACAATTATATTGTATATACCACCAAAGAGAAGAAATAATAAACTCTAATATCAATTTAAGCCAAATAGCACATGTTCTTTTTTTTTCTGGTACTGGGGATTGAACCTAGGGCCTTGCATTTGCTAAGCAAGCACTCTGCCACTGAGCTACAGCCCCAGCCTTTCTAATGTCAATTTAATATATTGATAGTAATAGCTGCACTTCAGAGAAGAAAATCCCATAGTAACCCTATCCATTTTAAAAAAGCTAATTAGTCCAAGTAGGAGGGCTGCTAAAAGGAAACAGCCTGGTCCTACATGAATATCTACTTAACCACTGAAATATGAAAAATAATAAACTGTAAACTGCAGCCAACATTCCTGTTTGTGATGGAGATTATCTATGGGGAGGTAACTCACTATATACATTATCAGTGGAGCTGGCCTATGATGGGAAATACTAGTGAAAATAACTTACAAAATGAAATCAAATATAATATTCTGACTTTCCACAAGAAAAGCCCAACTACCAATTTTTTCCTCTCACTCTTGAAACAATCTGACTGGATTAGAATTTTAACTATACACCTTATTTTCTAGCTCAATTAAATATTTAAATATTTTCCCTAGTGTTCAGCTAAAATTAAAAACATGTTCATACTAGTGTTTTTGTAATAACAGAAATAAAATCCTTGAGAATTCATGATAGTTAAATCTAGCATTATGAATAACCAGACTGCAAAGTGAGCTGTCAGCTCTTTAGAAGCAATCTGAATCACCAATAGAGATCATTTTACAAGTCAATATAATCAGAAAGTACCACATTGATCATTTACAGTGAAAAAAAAATGGTTAGAACTGGTGACTGTGGTAAAAGTTCCTAATCATTTTCAGTCTTCCATATCAGCTACTATAATCTCACTTCCTCCATTTCCAAACTACCCATACCTGGAAGAAACTATAGCTTTATTTTTATATTAAATTTTTAAGAATTTATTTATAAAACAAATATAAAATTTATTTATAAAACAAATGATGTTCTAAATATAAAGAACATCATTTTATAGCATTTATTTTTATTTTAAAAAGAACTGGTAGAAATCTATCACCCTTACTAGTGAGGTAAATCAAAGTTCATTCTGTAGTACTTAAGATAGGCCAATGAATGATGTCTTCCCCAGAAACAAAGGATAGCAAACCACTGTAGGATTATAAATAATTCTTGAGCTCTTTCTTTATAAGTTCCTGAATCAAGTTTTCTGGCTGTTTAGTGCCTAAATAGCCTCAAAAAACTTTCAGTTTCAGATGAGCAATTTTGTAAGCCTTCCTAGAGATTATTTCATTGTCTGATACTATATACTAGTAATCTAGATTATTTCATTATCTGATCTAGAGTTTTTAAATTATAAAACTTGGGTGATAGTTTGGTATTTTACACCTTAAAAGGATATTTTTGGGGTGCTAGAGTTGTAGCTCAATAGTAGAGCACTTACCCAGCACATGTGAGGTCCTGGGTTTGATCCTCATCACCATATAAAAGTAAAGAAATAAAATAAAGTTTTTTTTTTAAAGGATAGCTTTTGGGGCTGGGGTTGTAGCTCAGTGGTGGAGCACTTGCCTAGCATGTGTGAGGCAGTGGGTTCAATCCTCAGCACCATCTAAATAAATAAAAGTATTGTGTCAAGTAAAAAAAAAAAAGTACAAGTAGGAGGGCTGCTAAAGCTTTAAGTTTTTATTCCTTTGATAATTTATAGGGATTGATTGATCAATCAATTGATAGAATCCCTACAAATTAAATGAAATTTCATTTAAAATATCTATGATTTCAAAATTAAAAGCATTGTTTTGTATGTGGGTAGGCATAAGCCCAACAAAATGGATTGTTCCATTTTGTTTGCTACTTATTTATCTAGATTTACTCAGGTCAGAACATTGTCAACTAGGAGCCCCACTTCCAGAAGCCATGTCTTGATTTGGGATCTGAAAACCCAAACGGACCTCTGAAAGAGGTCCACTCAGTATCCCTATGAGGGAAAGCTATTACAATGTCAAAGGAATCAAAGCTTAACAAAAGATTTCATATTTTGAACTGAAGAGTGAGGAAGGCAGACCGGTGGTTGGAAATAATCCCCAGAAGAAAAATCAAGTAAAAGTTCAGACCTGGTGATTTGGAATCTTAACTCTGAACAGCATATATTTCATGTTATCTAGCTTAATTCAAGGATTTCTTTACCCTTCATTTTCAGTTTTGAAAGAAGAGTTCAAGTTGACTCTGGAAGTATTCTGGAAACCACTAGTGTTTTTATAGACAATAGAGGAAAAAAATCTATCCTCAGAAACAAAATGATTTTTAGGGAGCCCTTGCTCCCTTTTCAGCTCTTTACATATGTAAATGAATCTCCTATCAGGTGCATGTTTCCAACAATAACAATTTTCATTGTTTAATGTAAGGAAGCACACACTTCAGGGCAAGATAATAATAAACACTTGAGTTGTGTAAAAGGGTTACTGAATATAAACCCAAAGGAGGGCTAGTGTTGTTTGGATATAGCCACACAGACACGGCAAATTGCTCAAACTTTCAGAGGATCATACTATATTTCACAAGACTCTGCTTGCAAAAATTACCAGAATATCCAGCAAAATCAGTAAGACTTGCACAAAGATATTCCGTGGAAATGAACAACTGGACAATGATATCTGACCATTTGCCCTCATTGGATTGATGTCATGATTTCTCCACTGTATAAATCACAAGCTCTGGGTAGAACTCCAAAGAATGGTTGGTTGACACTCTAATAGACCCTACTTAACTGGTTCTACTTTCCTAGGCAGACCACCTCCCACAGTCGGTAATCATGAATGTCCACAGATTTTCAGAAATGTGAGTGGATACAGAGGGTAAAAAGAATTGCAACTGCTGTACTGAAAATCAGCATTCTGTCCATTTTCAAATGTGTTATACTCTCGCCCCTAAATTCTCAAAGTGCAATGTAGACTTTGCTTTTATTAAGCATAATTTCAGGGGCGGGGGGGGGTACATTATAGATTTTTGTCATTCTTCCTCTCTTCCCCCCAAATATAAGACAATTGTGACTGGTCAAACTCACTCTCTCACAGATTGAGCCTGAATACTGCTCTTCCAGGTCTCTGGCACTACTGATACTTCACTGAGATTGTGTTATTCATATTGAGTTCTGTGCAACCACCTTCAAATTCACTTTATGAGTAGTACTGAGAGTTTCTCACCTTTGAAAATTTGGGAAAGGGAGATGGGAAAAGGAGACAGGAAAAGGGACAAGCTCTGAGACTCTGGGCTTTACTCACTTTACGTACTGGAGTTTTGCAAACATTTCTGTTAGCACAAGGGTTCAACCGATTCTGAAGGTTCTGAAAACCACTGGTGTAAAAAGAAGTGCCAGACTACTTGAACACCACGACTTGTCGCTTACTGTGCAGGAGAGTAAATTTCCCTACTCTCAATAATAATGGCGGCACCGCCTACCTCACAAGGACCTTATGATGCCCAGGCATCTCCACTAGTAAGGGTGTCCCCTGAGGTGGGCGCGGTTCCGTGGCCGGAAGTCCCCCTCTGCCAGGCGCGGCCCGCGCGACCTCCAACCCCGCCTCCCGGAAGCGGCCCCGCCCAAGGCCTGCACACCTCCGCGTCCGGCTGGGACCTCGACCCCACCCGCCGAGTTGTCAGTTCTGCGGCCTAGGAATGGAGCCCCACCCTCCTGACGAGGAATCCGAGATGGCAGGCCAAGAACTTGACCCTGCCCGCCAAACTTATTTTTCCGTGGGCCAAGAATCGGACTGTCTCTACCAAGAATTGGACCTGGACTCCCTGAATGAAGATCTTTCCCTCGCCACGCCAGATGTCACGGCACAGACCTCTGTGGGCACATATGAACCCCGCCCAACTTCTGAACCCGAAGATCTAACCGAGGCCGAGCAAATGGAGCTCAAATCAGAGCTCATTAAATTAGAAGCGGAAATCTTCACTCTTCGCCAAGTGTTGGCAGCCAAAGAGAGGCGCTGTGGAGAGCTCAAGAGGAAGTTGGGCCTCACGGCCTTGGTGGGTCTGAGGCAGAATCTGTCCAAGAGTTGGCACGATGTTCAGATCTCCAACGCATACATGAAACAAAAGACATCAGCTGCCCTGTCCACCGTGAGCTCTGTCATCTGCAGGAAACTTGGGGACATGAAGAAATCGGCCACTTTCAGATCTTTTGAAGGTCTAATGGGAACAATCAAGTCCAGAGTCGCAGGTGGCAGAGAGCTTGGCAGTGACTGCTTTCCTTCTGCAGCAGGGAGTGGGAATGATCCGCTCCCGGTTCCAGAGAATGAGGATGATAATGTACCAGGGCCTGGAGATCACCTGCTCCCTTTTGTGGAGCCAGAATGAGCCCTTTATTAACCTTGCCTGGCCAGCAAACCAACGCAAGGACCCCCTTCCCTCATCACATTTGCAAATCTGCCCAGCAAATACAAGAAACCCAACCACACTGGTAAAGTTAATTCAGGAAATGGACAGAGTCCGGTTTTAAGAAAAGAAGTGCCCATTTGTACATAGATATTTGCTGCTGTTAGATAGAGAACCCAAAGTTTTGTACCTAGTTATTTTACACTAAAATTTGTAGATGAAATATATCTCTATACTAGCTTTTCTGGGGTTGGGTTTAATGGATAGGACAATGATGCCAAGAGGGGTCTTTGGCCAAAACCTAAAGTCTCTTGGAAAACTAGTCTTATTAGAAGACCAAAGTAAATTTCTGTTTAGGAAGTAGGTATAGGGGAAAAGTTATTAAATAATTTGTGCTTTTTCTCCTCCCATCTCCTTTCTTTCAAGTCAACTTGAAACTCCACCTGGCCTACAATTTTTATTTTACTTTTTGCAATGCTGGGGATCAAACCCAGGCATTATGCATGCTGTGCAAATGCTTTGCCTCTGAACTACATCCCTAGCCCTACAACTTTTATTTTTTAAAATGATATAGAAAAATCCATTTTCTCTGAGACCCCCAGAAAGAAAAAAAAAATAAAAAGTAAGGGAAGAAATGGTAAAAACAAAAACGGAAAGTTTAAAAAATTTAATTATTTTCAAAGCTCCAGTTTCAGCAAAGTAACTTGGCTTTAATTTAGGAGATTACTATTTTAGACCAAACTAAATTTGCAAGTTTACCTTGACTTGTGCTCTTTAATCTCTTTTTATATTAAAGTGAAAGTTTTAAAGCATAACATTGGTAGTGTGTCTCTACCATAGGAGCATGCCACGTAAAAGGAGAGAATTGTATGTCTGTTCTGCAGCAATTCCCTCTAGTTGAGAGGTTGGAGGGAAATAGTATAGCCAAATTTAAGAAAGATAAGCCCCTGTCTTAAGCAATATTTATAAAAGAATGCCTGTCCTCTGTAATACTGGCTGTTATGCCTGTGAATGGGTCTAACTGATATATCTTATTCTATTGGACTACAAGTCTGCCCTTGTCTTTAGCTAACCCTAACCGAGAAGGAAGTAGAACCCAATCCTCCTAGAGTTGTCAAGTCAGCGGGAACCTTGTTTCAGTTGGTTCAAATTTTCTGATATCTGATTTTCACAAAGCTATTAATTTTTTTAGGTTTGTATTTTTTTTTCTTTTCCATTTTCAAAATGCCAAATCCTGGCAACTTCTTTACTTTCTTTAATCCTACTACCTAAAATTTGTGACTTATTGACTCTAGCAGAGTGCCTAGAACCTTTCTTTTCTTGGTTACATTTCAATAGCCTCTAATTGCTTAAAGGTAGTCTCTCTAGCTTAAGAAGGTGATCTGGTTTTGTTGATTATTGAGTGTTCCCCCTATGTTCCTTTGGTTTTTCTACAATTAAAACAAATACTGTTATAGATTCAAAAGCACTTGGTAAACTGTAAAAAAGTCACTGATGTGTCCCAACCAACAGATCTCTGAAAACAGATTTTTGCTAGAATTAAAACAAGATGCATAATTATTTTACATGCTGTGTTTTTAAATTTTGTTATGTTTTCATGTGCTAGAGAATAAGAGGCAAACTTACTGCAAATAAAAAGTTAAAACTGTTACCTGAGTCCTAAGCCAGAGGCCTGACTGGAATGTCAACAAATCAGGTCCAGTCACTACCCCAAAAACCAAACAGAAAGATTAACAGTGAAATGAATGAAAAAGAACTTTTAATCAATGTAGCTACACCAGGAAGACAAGGAGATCCATATGCTCAGCCCTGTCTTTGAGGGACAGAAAATGACTTTGAGATTTTATAGAGAGAGAAACAAGGGCAGAGGTTGGGGATTGCATAGCTGGAGGATTTGCCCCACTGCCAAAGCAGGCGATCTTGATCAAGTATGATCTGATCCATCATTATCTTGGGATTTGTCAGACACAGCCTTGTCAGGGATTAAAAAAAAAAAAAAAGGTGCTATTAGCTTGGGGGTAGTTTCAACTCATCATAAGATGAGACCTGTTGATCAGACCTGTTGTTCCTTGAATCCAAGGTGACTCAACAAAGGAGACAGATGCAAAATAGAGGTATAGATTCAGGCAAAAGTGAAGTCTAAGTTCTTGTTACAAAAGCAGTTCAATAGTCAAAGGCTTTAATGTTATATTTCAGAAAGGTGTGTGTTACAGACAATCTCAGACTGACATCATGGATTGAAACTAAAATATGCTCTGTTTTATTAAATTAAAATTCATAAAAATGTTGTAACAGTTTTCTCAACTTTTTTTTTGAGACAACATTTCACTGTGTTGTGCAGAATAGGCTTAAATTCACAATCCTCCTGTCTCAGCCTCCTAAGTAACTGGCATTACAAGAATGTACCACAGTGCCCAGCATGAGAGCAATAAAGCATATATCTATTTTTGTTGATCATTACATTCATATATGCCTGGGTTAGAGTAGATACTCAATAAATTCTTGTTATATCAATGAATGAATTAGTATCAGATACTTTAGATATCAAATATTGGACCCAGGGCTTGGGTAGTGGCTCAGTGGTAGAGTGCTTACCTAGCACAGGCAAGGCCCTGGGTTCAATCCCCAGAACCACATAAAAATAAATAAAGATATTGTGTCCAATACAACTAAAAACTAAATATTTTTTAAAAATAGGATCCAAGAGATTATCCACAACATTAACTGGTTGACAAGTACCTCCTGCTTTTTTTAAAATTTATTTCCTCCTGCTTTTTAGCAAAAATATTTCATTTATTCAGAGCATTTTAATATTCAAAGATAATTTCAGACCCTACTATGTGAGAGGGGCTGTGCCAGGCCCTAAAGGCATAGTAGGTAATTATACATAGTCTATACTCTCTAGATACACTTAGTTTTCAAATTACAATGAGCTGCAATAGGTGCTAAAAATAGAGCTATGTGCCAGAGACAAAGGAAGTCCTGAGGAAGGGGTGTTCAGCTTTGCCTTGGTAGGTCAGTAAATACTTCACAGAGGCAGAAAGTCTTAAGAGACTAGGAGAGTCTGCCTAACAGACAAGAGTAGAACATTCCAGACAGTGTCCAGAGGAACTGAGTCATGAAGGAATGTATAAAAATGGCATATTACAGGAAATACCAGTAAGTCATCAAAGCTAGAAAGGGAAAAGAAATGGTGAATATGGGAAAATAAGCAGGGGCAAAATCATAAGTAAATGGGTTTATATGCTGCCTCAGACATTTGTATTTAATCCAGTAGGAAATGGTGAAGAATGAAGCACTTTAGTAAAAGTGCTTCAAATTTGTTTTAGATAGATTGCTGTGATCACTAGAGAAAATGATTAAGAAATGTTCAAGAGGCAGAAGCTCCCCAGTTAGGAATCCACTGCATGGGAAAGAGATGGAGTTTGCAAGATAATAAGAATGTAGAATTACTGAAACTGGAGCTGATTCATTTTGCTTTGGCTTCTTTAATATATTTCAGCATACCTGTATCCACAGCCATGGGCACCAAATAAAATGCCTCCACAGACATGTGGGATTTGGTTCAAATTTTTTTCTTTAAATTTCCCATCTTTCCTAGAAATTTCCTTTTCTACCCTTCATATCCATTGGTTCTCCTCAATTCTCTACTAATCTGGCCCTATTTGAATTTTGTAACCTAGCTTCAGTGTATTTTAAGTTTAACTTAGCCCCTTCAAGATGCAATTTCCAGTAGTTCCTGGAATGTGTGCACACCCAAAAATGCCCATTACAAAGTTGGCTCAACCTCTGAGAACCATTGGTAGGAAGGATGTTGAACAAAATTCCCCAACGCTTTCAATTTTCTTGCACTTCCATTTCCCATATAAGTGAAGGGTAAGAATAGAAATTAGAGAAAAAGTGCAATGATTTGAATGTTTATATCCCCCCAAAACTCATATGTTGAAATCTTAACCCCCAGGATGATGATACTGGGAGGTGGGACCCTTGGGGAGGTAATTAGCTCTCTCTCGTGAATGGAATTGTGCCTTGATAAATATGTCAAGGAGAATTTATTTGTCCTTTCCACCACGGGAAAACACAATGATTGAGAGAGGAAAGAAAACATAATGAAAGGCACTATCTATGAACCAGGAAATGAGCCCTCACCCTATAGTAATAAATCTTATTCTTTGAACTTAGGCTTCTTAGCCTCAGGAACAATGAGAAATTTCTGCCGTTTGTAAGTTACCAAGTTTATAGTTTTTTGTTATTGCAGCTTGAATGCACTAAGACACAGGGTTAAAAGTTCTATCTCCCACAGATGACACTCTTTATGCTTCTGGCAAGGATGGGGTAGATGACCAAGGGACATATTCATTAGTATCATATATGCCCCTCAACATAATGCTAGCATAACTTCCAGAAAAATTCATTAGCAATTTCTGGGGGATGCTCTACTTCTGCTTCCTGATTCATCAAAATGCTGAATTCCAAATTTGAAAGAAACTACAATTATCACATACTTCACTGTCATGACATAAAGAGTCAAGCAGTGACCACTAACCCAGAACTGTGCAGGTCTTCTGATAGTGCTAGATAATATGTTTGGTGGCCTCACCCATCAAGGACACAATAATACAATATGTTGATTCTGCCAAGGAATGGGATCAATTACATCTGGGCCACAGAATTTCAATTTCTTGCTCATGAACTCAAATGCAAGAAAAAAGACAACATCAAAATGACTATGGAGGGCTGAGATTGTGGCTCAGCAGTAGAGCGCTCGCTTAGCACCGGCGGGACCCTGGTTCAATTCTCAGCACCACATAAAAATAAAGGCATTGTGTTGTGTCCATCTACAAAAAAAAAA